ATGTTGGAAACGAGCATTCAAGGGGTCTCGAAACCGCGATACGATACGAACTGATCTAGAGAGAGAGCGAGAGGGGGGGAGGGGGGACATGATACACGGACTACGAATATCGTATTCAATCAAACAAAAACTGAAACGAACTTTCGAGATTGTGAAACTTACCTGAATAATCATAACCTAAGTGTTATCAAAAACAAGGACTTAGACTTTACTCCTTTCCGCTTTCTCACCTTAATCCAATCAGAATGTGCGGGATCTAATTTCGTATTCACATCGACAGTATCATTCACAAACGGGCTCCCAGCTCCAACAATCTGCAGAACCGGAACATTCAACTGTACGCCAGTTTGCCCATCACGTGAAATAGATATAGGTGAGCGGCTAAAAAATAAAGACTTTAGATTCACAATCTTCAAATAAGAACACTGAGAATTTTAAGTCAACAATAAAGCTGTATCCATATAAAACTTGCTTCTCCTCATTCATCGCCATGGATGGGGTGTCATTTATGATGACGAAAAATTAAATGGATAGTTCATCGACAAATCGTCAATTTCACATATTCAAAGTGCTGTCGTGTTCTATTTATGATGCATATTCAAGAGTGAGAAACTACCATATATCGATTAAACAAGGGAAATGATGATGCCGTCAATTGATGACAACGCGATGTATGAATGAGAAGAAGATAGATAGTAGATGATGAAATACATAAACAAAAAATTGCTGTTACATCAGATGCGAAGATAAAGAACAAAAACCTTCATAACATACTTACTTCACATACGACTCTATGAACATAGCCAGATTCGTTGGGTTGGGCAGATGCTGGAAGTAGACGCGGTATTGGCGAACAATATCGGGACTGCATTCATCTAGACGTCGCCCAAAGTGGTGCCACATAAGATAATCAACAGTGAACGTATTCATTCCTGAGCCGCGCAGATATCTCAGGTTCATCTGAATGTTATGCAACTATTTATATATTAATTCTCATGTATTCAACTGAACAAAAATTGCCCTTTCTTGAGACAGCGGAATGATCAGTCAAGAAATTATAGGTTGAATCAAAGTACCTTCTGATAAGCCCACTCGATCCATCCTGCTGCATTTGCAACGCAGTTGACAAGGATAAGCGCATCAAGGCGACGTTGATTAAGAAGCTGAAAAATATACGATAAGCACATAATCCAACATCAATCCAGGAAACTTTAGTCTTAAGGCAACTGCCCATTAAGAGATGCAGATGATGCGAGATTGCAGAAAAAAGCTCTTTCTCAAATTGTTAGAATCTAACAAAAAGGTCATGTTGTGCACTTACCGCGTATCTTAGAAGAACGTTAGCTCCAACCCCAACGCCAAAAGCAATCAATGATTGAAGCCTGCAATCATACTGATAGATCAATTTTGAATAATTTCCAATATCTAACAAGTGTAATAACTGGAAGAAGATATAATCGAAAGCAAGATAGGCAAAAGAATGAACTCACCCAAAATGTTCAACGACATTTTCAACAATTCTAGCTAATTCGTCCATAGAAGGGTAAACGAAGCTAGAAAATGAAATGATAGAAGATGAACTTCAAGATCACACGAATTTCACTTACTTTTCTGGTAGAGGAGATGCATCCACCTCTTGCCCAGGGGCATTGATATTGTAAATGCAAAACTTCTCCGTAAATTCAGCAATTGAGACGAATTGGAAGAAATTTTGGAAATTACTCTCAGCTAAACGTAATAATTTGTAGGAAATAAAAGGAGGAAAATCGCAGACGTGGGAAAAACTAAGCTAGGTAACGATAAAAGACTCACAGTCAAGAGCAAGGTCGTGGAAAGTTATAAGCGGATGCTTATCACGATCACCATAAATTGTCACTTTTACTTTTCCAAAATCCGTGTCAACTCTCTCCTGAAATCATATGAGTAATAAAAGCAATATAGATTTATTTTGTATAACACTTTGGGTTTGTCCATTCTAATTTCATTATTTAAATGAATTTAAATTTTGCCACAATGATAAACAGGGAGCGAGGAGCGTGAGTTCATAAAAAAAATTCAAAAATGGAAAGCTTTTTATTCTTCTCTTGATATTAGACTATTCCTTTATAATTTATTTATGTGATGTTTGAGTTTTTGAATTCACGATTTTCCGTTTACATCACAAAAAATGCATAGAGTTTTTTTTAGGCACGGCTTATTCTGAAGCGATATATCTGTTACTATGGCATCGTTGCTTCGACCCATTATAGCGAGATACAAGAAGACCATAATTCCGTGAACAACATTCCGTGTTTTACGAGCTATGCCCTCATAGATGAAGACATAAACTCAGTGGACATAACTTCAATCTCAAGAACACATAGCTCTTTCAGACATGTTGCACTTAAGTATACAAATATAAATTTACAATGGTTCTCAAAGTTGTCTTGCTATTATACAATAGGGAATTTTTATAACATTTCGCTGATTTAACAGATATGGTTCGAAATGGCAACTGCACAGAGATGTGAAAATCAGGTATAACATGACTTGTGGTAGACAATCCCTTTCCACACTTCTCCCTCGCCCCTTCCCCCAC